TTATTTTGCGAGACATCGGTTGTCTTTTATGTTTCGAAATTTTGCGCGGAAAATTGGCGCGCAGCCGGCCAGAATGAATCCCCTCGCGCATGCCAGACGCTTTAACCCGTGTGTCTGCGCCAGCAGTGCATTTTACCGAAGATTACAATAATGCGCCATCAGCGCGGGGGAAAATTTCCAAGAATTTGATTTTCTTCATTTCTTTCCGCAGTTTTGGCCGTGGCATGCATCTCTCTCCGCACCAGATTCCTCATCGCGTTGACCGCTATCCACGCCATCGTTGCTGCGGTCAGTTTATTCTACTTTGTAGCCGTGCGCAAGTTAAACAAACCCACTCCAGAGAAGCCCAATGCTAAGAACGGCTTCGATGAGAATCACATCAACTGATGTTTGTCTGCATTGACGTGGAGTTTACAACCCTTCTGTGGAAGGTAGCATGCTGTCTACATTGCGCTGGTTGTCTCTTAAAGAGCCATCCCATACCGGCAGAACAGTGCCTTCTTTTGACGAAGCCACGCGTTTTATTGATGAAATAATCTCTCGTGCCAGATGGGTAAACTTAAGACAAACGGTAATGTTCCCTAATAAAGACAAGAGTCGTTGAAGGCTTGTTATATATCTTGGATAGCTTATTTTCCTCCCTAACCCCCTACCCCTCGCATTTGTGATTGTCTAGTGTACGCTATCAAGCGCGATAGAAAAGGTTGCGTTGTGTTGTTCATGTTGACAAGTCTCAAAGTAATTTTTTAGACAAGGTAGAATTTAGTATAAGAAAATTAATATAAAAGGCGCGAGGTTTGTCAAAACGAAAATTGTCTAGGTTGAGGTATAGGTTCGTCTGTTAATTTTATGGCTGTGTTGTATTGACTGGAGTTGTGGCGCTCTTTGTTTGATAAAGTAAGGTATACGTTGTGCAGAGTTATTTTGTTACAGGCATTTTCCGTTGGCTTGAGTATCCGTTTTCTTTTCTATCTTAATAGTTTTATTTGTAAATAGTTTTTTTATTTGTTTTACGTTAGTTTTCTACCAAATGCTCGAGTCAGCGATATGTTTTCGGTTCCAATATTTAAAAAAAAAAAACCGGGGTATTTTTGGACACATTATCCTTGCGAACTGATTTGGACTTTGAGAATCTAGATCAGGTGAAATGAAAATTGATAAACTTGCTGAATAAAACGCAAATCTACGTTTGAAGGAAAACAGGTGGAGACTACTTAGACGGCTAAAATGATGAAATTGAATATTTCCCGAAGAAAATTGTGAGTTTTTCGATCGAAATGATACCCATATTTATGGTAGACGTGTAAATACTTGTAGGAGACGGCTTCGTTCGCAGGAAAACGCCGGTTGCGATTGGTGTTGAAGGTGATGTTACTCGAGACGATTTTTAATCCCTCTTTATCCGCATCGTTTTAGCTCGGGCTCCAACGCGCCATTTAGTCAATCTTCACCAGAGGTGATTGGCCGTGAGATTGACGCGAGATTCCTGACCAATCATGCAAGGCAGTTTTAATGCTCGGTCAAAATGAATACGATAGGATTTGTTATATAGTCAACCATTTACACCCTCGCATCAGGTGGCATATTCTCCATATTGTTCTGTTTACCTTTCCTGTAGTTCAATCAAGAGTCTTCAGTTGACGACGGTTCATTTTTTTTTTATTCTCGTGTTCTTGATTCTTGATTCAGCAGTGATACTTTAGGAGAAGTTAGATGCTAGACGCTTTGAGGGTTTAAAGAATTAAGTTTGTTATTGTTACTTAATGTGCCTAGTCTTGTCTATCGATCAAGATGCGAGTGAATGTTACAATATGACATCATGGTGATTTGTAAAACGGTAAACGGCTTGAACTTCAGAGTAACAGTTGATTCTGTATTCTGTTCGTCCGTGTGAGGGCCGTGCTAAAAGGGGCGGTTACCTCAGAGGAAGTCATTGTCATCATAATCAACAACTTCCGCACGAGTTGAAGAAACGTCAGGTCACAGAAGACGTCAAAATAAGGTTAGAAACATGCACCTCGTGTGTCACCGATTTTCGTACCACATTTTGAAGTCTTCTGTGATCTACTACTGGACAGACCCACGGCAACATAGAATCTATTTGTTTTTGTATTATAAAGAAGTAAAATGTTTCTTATTATGGTGTCATCTTGTCTTTCCTCCAATAGATCATAAGTATGAACCACTCAGAATACGTGTAGACTTCAGCTTGTCGTAGAACCGTTTCTAGATTACCCTTACGTGCACGATCAGGTTACGCGCTCATAATTTGAACACTCCACTAGTTATGTGATCAGAAAGGTAAATTAGACTTTTAACGAATTCACTTTTCGTGGAGGGACAGAAACGCTGTCATTGTACCTGTTTTAGATTTTGGAACTGTTTGTATGCTCCCTTTCTAGTGTAGAATCTTGTAAATGTAAACATAACGAAACCATCTTGTACATTGTAAGCACAAATACTTCTTGAAAGTCATAAATAAAAATTTTGCAAACTCGATTGTTGTTGCTCAGCGGTATGTCTCTACCGGGGGGAAACGATCGATCATAGATGGAGGAGGGGGGGGGGATTGAGCGTAAGTGGTGATAGTCCGCAGGGTTTTTGCCACTCCCATCGCTCCCACTCGCGGTATCATTCTACAAACACATATCGACTCTCTGCTACTACGAAAATTCGCAGTTCACATGTATGATTTTCATATATTTAAGTCATTTATTCACCATTTCACGGGTTTATTTGGAACCAACATAATGGCTTGTTAGCTCAGTTGATAGAGCACTGCGCGGTATCGCAGAGGTCATAGGTTCAAATCCCGTACAGGCCTGAATTTTTTCTGGTTCTATTTTCACTACTGCTGATGTAGTGTTCGTTACTGCGAAGATCGCTTCCATATTCGTTACTGACGAACAAAACGGATTTCCGTGATTTTTTCTTTCTTGTGGACGCTGAAGGCCTCCTTTCACTCATAAATCCTTCGCGCACTGTGAGTAATATTGTTTTGGGTTGAATCCTCTCGCATGACAACATCTTCCCGCCCGAAAAGTGAGAGCCGATTCCTACTTTTCCTTGGGAATCTTTTCTTCTTCATTTTCTTTCCCGCACTGGTATTTTTCAGCACTCTTCCCTTCGCCTGCGCACAAATCAACTTAAATAAAATAAGCTAAACATGAAAATCAAGGAGTTGATTGTGAGAAAAAGCAACTACAAAAGCCTTAATTTGAGCTCAGATCAAAAATCTCGTGATGCAAATTTACATCAACCTCGTTTCCATGGTTTAATCAGCATAAGGCTGAACTAACACGTGAAAATCTTCCATCTCATTTACATTTTACGGTTCCTCGTGCTGAGAACAGTTTACGTAGGAAAGCAAGAACGGTAGTAAAATCGACGGTTAATCAAATCTTCCCCCCAAACGTGGCCGGAAGCATTGAGGAGTCATTCCTGCTTCTTCTGGGAGACTTGTAGACCCGGACCGATAATTCTACCTTCTCGAAACAGAACACACAGTAAGTTATGAAAGTGTTAAACTGGTTTAATACAGCGCGCCTGACGAGGTAAAGAGCATTCCAAATTAATTGTGTTCGCGACGAGCAGTTCCACGTCAATGTAGTCTTTTGAAAAAGAAAAAACGTTGTGTAATAACATATTTGATAAAAATTGGTCCACTAATTGCTTCAGTCCATCTTAATGGAGCAGTGGCTTGGCGAGGACTAATGTTCCGTATTTGCTTAGCGGTAAATTCGAACCGAGTTTGTAAACTAAAAATGGTTAGACTGATTCTCCCTATTCACGGTCTGCCTCACAATTATATGGTGTGAGTTTGAAGGACTGGGTATTGGATCAACTAATAATCCTTTCATATATTTTTTTTCTTCGTTGTCATCACTTGTCACTTAATATTGTGTTGATATTGTAAGGAGAAAATCTGTCTCGGTCACTCATAGGAGTTAAAAGGCCAGTTGTTTACACGAAATCTGACCCAAACCGCGGTTTTTACGCAGACAATGGACCATACGTATTTTCTATGAGAGGGTTATTTTCATTAAATAAATGTCCTTTTACTGCAAGCGTGACAATTCAAGTCACAAAAATGTATTTTCAAATAAAAGATTCAGCTAAATTCAAGATAATTTAGATAGCGGTTTTGGTTAAATAACTCGCCCAACGGTATCAAAGTAGTCCAATGAACCTGCAGAAAAAAACGGTGTAGTTTTTTTTCTCTCATAGATGAAATAACATGTGGATGAGGTATCGAAAATAAATCATGGGAGTGTACAAAAATAAAGAAGAAGAGCAAAGAGTTACTCAAAGGTAGGTTCAGAATCCAGTTGGTTTGAAATAGGATTAGTGACTGTACAGGTGACTGCTTTTCTATACATGCACAAAACGCCCTTGCTTGCATCAGCGAGAGATTTGAATGTAAAGATATGCAAATAATGGCTAAGCGGCTCTTAGGTGCAAAGTTATATCGCTAACAAAGAATGATCGGAATGCATGCAAACTGTTTGGTGCGCTTCGTGACAGTTAGTGTAGGTATTAACATAATTTCGGGCGCAATTTGGTGTTAATAGGCACAAGTAAATTTTTCATAGGCAACAAAGTTGCACGAGCCATTTCTTGTCTTTGATTTTTTTGCATGCCAAACATACCAGGTAGATAATAATTCGTCACTAACTGTTCCAAAAGCTTAGCTATTTGTAAAAAGCGTCATTAAGGTCTCGCATTCGCCAGCAATTTGGCTCAGCAATCACTAATATTCAAATTTTAAAATTTGGCTGTACTGCTTAAATAAACTTTTCAAAATCTCAGTTTTAAAAATTGTCATAAACGAGAGACGTTCACAAACATCAATCACACACGGTGCAAATTTTATTGTATTTTTAAACTGATCTCGGCTCAGCCGCAGGGAATGTTTCCGCATAACCCTAAACTTCATTATCAAGAGAAAATGATGGGTCCTTTATCTTCTAATATCATTATGTATGCAGTTCCTTGCTGAAAGAAGAGTGGCAAAGACAAGAAATTACGACTGATTTTGAAATTTTCAAAATACCCATCACTGCGCCATCGATGCGCCATTATCAATTTTGTGTATCAATTTTTTCCGGATATTAAACAGAAAAGATTTCCGTATTTCCGGGGCGCAGGCACAGCGGTGAGAACGCTCACCTCCCGGGCCCGGGTTTGATTCCCAGACATGGCGTCACATGTGGGTTGAGTTTGTTGCCAGTTCTCGTCCTTGCTCCGAGGGTTTTTCTCCGGGTCTTGCGCCGCGGGTTTCTTCCGCTCCGCATAAACCAAAATTCTAAATTCCAATTCGACATGGAAACAGTGGACAAGAAGAGCCACCTGGTGGAATGTTCATTTTCCAAATGCCCATTTATATATTTCATTTTATTTTTATAATTTTATTTTCTATAAAACAAAGCCGTAGTTACCGAGTTTCCCTTTTGTTTTGTCCTTAAATTCTTTTATCCAATAACTGTATGCATAATAAAGTATGGGGTTGTATGGAAATCATGCCAGTAAGAATATTTATTTTTAGGTAAAGCCAACAATTAATAACTTGTGACCATTTTTGCAAAAAAATGAACCGATACACAGTGGAGTTGGAAC